CATTGGCAACTCAGTCTGGAGAATGAGACGCTCCGATTTGACAAATTTTAACAAGCATTTTTTTCTCTCTATTCTAATCAGCTGATATTTAATACTTATCTTGTTCAGTACACTAAAAACCATACAATAACTTAATTGCTGTACACTTTATTTTTTTATATCTCATTTTTCTTTTTTTATTTCTTTTTTGGGCGATTTGGAATGATCCAGAGTCCGGATCAGTTGCCAGTTTATGTTTATTCTTCATTCACTTTTATTTTCTATTTTTCATTCTTTTTTTTTTTCTTGGATTGCACCTTTAAGTGCATTTCTACCTCGCGATAACGTAAAATCAAAATTTACCATATCTCTCTCATTTCTTCATCCATTTAATCATTCCATCAACACATGTACAAAGTTTACTTAAGGGGAGGTCACCCGAGCGTTTTTTTTTTTTTTGTTTTTTTTTAACAACCAGTTTGTGATATGATCCTGTAGCCGGAACGATTTTCCAACTTGCTGGTCACACGGAGCGAAAAGAACCATCGCGAATGCGCGCGATATCAGCGGTAAACATGGCGTCCACGAGGATTTCCCGCGCGACCCTCCTCTTAAATATTTTGTCATCTGCAGCTGTAATGGAGGCTGAAAGGTTACGTAAACGGCGTTTGTGGGTTCGTTCGTGGTTGCAGGGAAGAAATGGCAGAAGTAAGACCATACTCTGCTGATTTTGGAAAAAAAAAAAAAAAAAATACAAACGCTTCTTTGAGGAACTTGGAAGACGCGCGCTTGTAAACAATGATGACGTCACGGTAGTTCAAATGAATTTCCGTGCAGAATTAATAAACACACTTTGAAAACATAAATGTGTAAATCAAAATATATGTTGATAAGATAATATTGATTTATATATAAATAATTGTTTTTAGGCATGCAGTTGAGTACTTTTTCCTTAGCAGACTATAGACTCTTTCTTGACAACCCACTTGCCTATAATTCGCTTCCACATCGGAGGTATTGTCGACTTGGAAGTTGCGGGTAGTGGAAAAGTTTCCGTTGATTTATCGGTGTAAAAACGCTCGTGTGACCGCCCCTATAATGTTCAAAAAGTAATGTGTAGATAGATCACTAAAACAGAATTCCAAACACCATTAAAGTCTACATATATACATACCAATAAAAAAAAACAAAGATAAAACGGGTATACAATCACCTTTGTTTGGAAAAAAATAGGTTATATCTTAACTATAGCGACGGAAATATAAATATTTTTTTTTTTTTTTTTTCTTGACTTCCCTTCATTACCACACCAGAAAAAGATAATGAGAAAAAGATGATAAATGCCTAAAGATTGTCTGTTAGGTTTCTGTCGGTTCTCTCTCTCTCGCTCACTATCTATCAGTTTATTTTTATCTCTCTATCCCTCTCTCACCCTCTTTGCCTGTCTGCTTCTCGCTCTCTCTCTCTTTTCTCTCTCTCTCATCTCTCTCTGTCTATGTATATCTATCTATCTATATCTATTTCTCTCTCTCTCTATCGATCTTTTTTCTCTGTCTCTATCTATCTCTATCTTTGTCTCTATCTATCTATCTCTATCTCTATCTATCTATCTCTATTTCTCTGTCTCTATCTCTCCGACTCTCTCCCTTTCTCTCTCGCTTTCTCTCTCTCTCTCTCTCTCTCTCTCTCTCTCTCTCTCTCTCTCTCTCTCTCTCTCTTCTCTCTCTCTCTCTCTCTCTCTCTCTCTCTCTCTCATCATTAACATACACATGAAAAGAAAAAAGGTAAAAAAAAATCCATCAGTATATCATTATCTGCTTGTATTTTTTTTTA